TTCACTTTTGGTCATTCCTCAAATATATGTCTTCTTCAGAAAAACATTGTTTTGAGGCCATGACATGTAGGGTTTTCTTTTTTTTCCCCTCTCAGAGCAGGGGAAGTGGTTAAGAGAAGAATTTTCCATGCAGACCAAAATGAAGAACATGTGGAGAGATTCTGAGGCGGCAGAGAGGTTAGGAGCTTTAGGAAAATGAAAGAAACCCAGTGCAGCTAATGTTTGAGAGCCAGGAGGAGTAACAGCAGTAGGCAAGGGACAGATCATACCAGACATGTTCCTTCCTCCCTCACTGTAACCCTAGTCCTAATCTCAACCCTAACTCCCACCAGCACAAAGGGACTTGGGAAGAGGGTGTCCAGTGGAAGTTAGTCAAGGAAACAGGACAAGGGGGAAGTGAGCAGGAAGCAGACTGAACTCTTGGCTTTCACTTCTCATCCCCTGCATCCCACATCCTGTCTCCTACTATGATGGCCACTGGATTGGGGCCTGACCTTGTAACTTGCTTTGGCCAGTAGTATGTGAAGACAGCAATGTGCTTCTGCAGGTGGGACTGTCCCCTTGTGCTCTTGACTTTTGTCATTAATAGAACAAGCTCCGGGGAGTCCCAGGAAGATGAGAGAGACGTGGAGACAAGGGCCAAAAGGGAAGCCTCATCCACGTCTGGTAGTGACCACCCAGGGCTCTGCCTGTTCTGCAGGGTTCTGGAGAGTTAGCAGAACAGCATTGTTTGGCAGTAGCTGGCTAACTGGAGCAAGATGGAGAAGACCTTTGGGAGCAGTGAGTGGCAGAAACAGGATATATTTAGTCAAGAACAGAAGGAAGAAAGAGGACCTAAGATTGAAAGGAAATTCGGATGTGTCATGTGATGGAAGGATGGGGTCTCCTCTCTAGTATATGGCCCTAAAGCACACAGTTGGATCAGCGAGTGGGCACACAGGGAGGCAAGTTCAGTGAGACCTAGGAAAAAATTGTCATCCACTGAAACACCAGGAAAATGAGATGAATTATCTCGGAGACCGTCTTCTACCATTGGAGGGCAGAGATGTACTAATGCAGTGCCTACTGCGTACTGAGGACTCCCATATTTTCTCTTTCATTTTGTGATATTTTTCTTTCATTTTGTGAATTATTATGGGAAAAAAATCTGAGATAAGAATTATTTTACAGATAAGGGAACTGAGACTTTGAGAAGGTAAGAAACTTGCAAAAGTCTATAGCCAGTAAGTCACAGAGGCAGGATTTGAACCTTCAACTGTCCAGCACTAATATCCTGCTGTTGTGGAAGCTGGTTCTGGAGACAAGTGCCACGGGATTAGGGTGCCGATGGGGAGCAGCGGCCAGAGCCTGGGCTCTCAAGCTCCCATCCTGCTCCAGGATGAAGTTTTCACTCATATTTAGCACATTTTCACTACAGGGGAGCGAGGTAGGAAAAGGAAAAATATAGTGAGTTTTTCATAAAGCTAAATTTACTCAATTTAAACGGTTTTCCTTTACTCTGACATTCTGTCTTTTCCATTCTTCTTTTTAAATATCAAATCATGATGCTTGTTTTTCAAAATCGTCTTGACATAGCGACATAAAAAGGCATCAACCTCATCCGTCCTCCTGGCCGTTTGGGGATGATATGGACTATGAAATTGAAAAGTCTAGAAGCCACTGTCTGGATGACCTCCCGTGACATGTTTCCAGACTGAACTTTTAGACTTCCTTGCTTTATAAGCTCTAAAGGTCACGTTACAGCCTCCGTGGACCTCAGGAATCTGTCAGGCAGAGGGAGGGTGAGTCCGACTGCTTCTCCCCTCACCAGGAGACAAAGCCTAGGAAACCGCACTCTGCAGGCCATTTGGTTGATTCAGGCGCTGCCACAGTGTTGTGACAGAGAGGGTGTGGCTTGTCTGGGCCCCTCAGTAGGTGAGCTGTAAGCAGCTAGACTGAGCCAAAGAGCTCCTGGCCGAAGCCTCCGCCCCACGCCTGTCACCCAGGACAGCGAGTACAAAGTGCTTCTTCAGGGAGAGGCCTGGCTCGGCTTGGGGTGGGGATCTGAGCCTCTGCACCCACTGAAGGTCATTGGCAGGAACTTCTGAGAAGCCATATTTCTATCTGCCCTTTTGGCGGGGCAGGGATTGAATCTTGGACCTTCACACTGAGCTACATCCCCAGCCTCTTTTGATTTTTTGAGATAGGGTCTTCGTAAATTGCCAAGTTGTCTAGGCCAGGCTTGAACTTGCAGTCCTCCTGCTTCAGCCTCCCAGGGATTATAGGCACGAGCCACCATACACAGCCTGCCTCTTGAAAAAATATTTTTTATGCAGCATTATCAAGATATACTTTACATAATATGTAATTCACCCATTTAAAGTATATGATTCAGGGCCAGGGATTTAGCTCAGTGGTTTCACAGCCTGCTGCTCAAGCGCAAGGACCCGAGTTCGATCCCCAGTACCAAAAAAAAAAAAAAAAGCTGTTAAAGTATATGATTCATAATCCCAGCTACTCAGGAGATTGAGGCAAGAGGATTCCAAGTTTGAGGCCAGCCTGGACAACTCAGCAAGATCCTGTCACAAAATTGTTTAAAAATTTAAATTGAAAGAACCGAGGATACAGCACAGTGGTGGATTACTCCTGGGTTGAATCCCCAGTACCACACACGCACACTCACATACATGCACACAATCTTTTAATGTTTGCTATTCAATAACTTTTAGAATATTCACAGATAAGTATACTTGCCACTATAGTCTCCTTTAGGACATTTTTAAGACTCAAAATGAAGTCCTCTGTCCTCCAGCCATCACTTCCCACCCCTGTGCTTGCATCCATCAGCCCTAGGCCGGCACTGGTCTGGTGTCTGTCTGATTTTCTATTCTGGAGATTTCCTAGAAATGGAATCAGACAGTCTGCAGGCTCTAGTGACTAGCTTTCTTTCACTTAGCACAATGGTTTCAGGACTTATCTGTGCTGTAGCCCGTGTCACTACTCCATTCCGTTACTTTTTAGACTTTATGTTTAGATTCATAGAAAATAGAGCAGAAAACACAGAGAATCTGCATACTCTTACTCCCCCCTTTCCATGCACTGCCCATCTCACTATGGGCACCCAACACGCGAGTGGACACTGTGACAGTCGGGGGGCCACTGTAGATACATCGTTATCAGCCCACGCCTGCAGTTTACTGCAGGGTTTGCTCTTGCTGTTGTGCATTCTGTAGGTCTGGACAAATTTGCAGTGTTGTGTACCCACCATTAAAGTATCACACAGACCTATTTATTTATCTTCCTTCCCTGGCAACCATCAATCTTCTTTCTGTCTCCATGGTTTTATCTTTTTCAGAATCTGACACAATTGGGCTCATATAGTATGCAAGTTTTTCAGATTAGCTTCTTTCTCTTAGTAACATATCTTTTCTTGGCTTGTTATTTAATTTCTTTTTAGCACTAAATACTTGATTATATGGATGTCTCACAGTTTATCCACTCACCCACTGAGCGACATCTTGTTTGCTCAGGTCTGAGCAATTATTAATAAGGCTGCAATAGTCCATTTCTTTATATGATTGAGTAATATTCCATTATATGGATATACCACATTTAGTTATCTGTTTATCAGTTGATGGGGATTCAGGTTGTTTCCACCATTTGGCTATTGTGAATAGCGCTGCTATGCTGAGACCAGAGGCACACATCTGTAATCTCAGGAATTTGGGAGGCTCAGGCAAGAGGATCACAAGTTCAAGCCTAGGCTGGACAATTTAGCAAGGCTGTTTCAAGATAAAATATAAGAAGAGGTGGGGATGTAGCTTGGTAGTAAAGCACTCTCAGTTCAACCCCAGCACTGTAAAAACAGGCAAAACCAAAACCAACCAACCAAAAAAATGCTGCTATGAACATTCCTGAACAAGTTTCGTTTGACTAAAAGCTGAGCCTGTAGTCAGATCACTGGAGTCTGTACCTCAGGGTGAAATTGCCGCGTTGTGTGATAACTCTGTGTTTAACCATGTGATGATTGGCAGACTCTTTCCCGAAGTATCTCCATATCATTTCATAGTCTCCCCAGCAGTGCCTGGGGTCCCCATTTCCCTGCACCACCTGGACAACACTTGGTGCTGCCTGCTGTATCTCAGCTGTCCTGGTGGGGGTGAGGCCGAATCTCACTTTGGGTTGCTTTGCCTTTCTTTCTTTCTTTCTTTCTTTCTTTCTTTCTTTCTTTCTTTCTTTCTTTCTTTCTTTCTTTCTTTCTTTCTTTCTTTCTCTCTCTC